CAACCAACGTTATCTCCCCCGACCAATTCGGGCGGACTCGATAAACCTTATCAGTTAGCAACACTATCTCCCATTATCGTGGAAACGGATTTCATCGTGATGAGGATTCTGGAACTACTCCGCGAAACCCGCGATGACTCCATTATATAAAGGCTCCACCCCCCAGGGGTGCAAGGTATGCGTGATTTCCTGCTCTCAAGCCCTCTCATTTTCAAAGCAATTTCAGCTCGCTATTAGCCTACTGACTTAAGCATCAGAGCGACCTCGTCGGGTTAGCATCCCGAGGTTCTCTGATATCCTTGCAGGTTCAATCCGCCGTCCGTCCGGAAGCCATGTCACCTCCAACTAGGAGCAGCCAGATCGCACTAAATCACTGCCTAAGGCCGCCGTGAACACCAGGGGCTTCGAAGAGTCTCATAGTGCTTGAATCTCAATCTCTTGAACCGTCGGCTTTGCAGTTTTCAGATGCTAGGGATTGGGGGCACTGTGAACAATGAGCAAGAACGATCAGAGGTGGGAGAGATTCCACTCAGAGTGGTCAAAGCTTGTCCATGGCGACCTCTCCTCTGCTGTAACGTCGAGCTCTTCCTATCTTTCCCAAACGAAGGAGAAGGACGAGCTCGAAATAGAAAAAACCCTTCCTTTCCTTTTCGGCAAAAAAGGGAAAAAGAGTTTGAATAAAAAAAATAAGATTATGTTGATGTGGCATGAGTATTAAGAGAGAGGGGGAAGGGCCCGTGTCCCTAGGCTGATTCGATGCCTTGGGTTCCCCTTACCATCCCCTATTTATAGGGTTCAAGTAGGGGTAGTTTGGCATTTTTGATGTTTGTGGGGTAGAAAGGTCCAAAAGAAGTTAATTTCTAGGTATTTTATGTATGAAGATGTGTGGGGGTATTTTGAAAAATTTTAGGGGTAAGATAGTCCAAAATGTGTGATTTTGGAGGTATTATGGGAAGAAAGGTGTTGTGAGGGCATTTAGGGTATTCTGATTGATTTTAAGGGTAAGAAGGTCCAAATGAGGTAAATTTGGGATACTTTGGGAAGAAAGGTGTGTGGGGGGGTATTTTGATGGTTTTTAGGGTAAAAAGTTTCGAACAAGGTAAATTTGGGGGTATTCTAGAAAGAAAGGTGTGTGGGGGTATTTTGATGGTTTTTAGGGGTAAAAAAGTCCAAATGAGGTAAATTTGGAGGAGATTCTAGGAAGGAAGATGTGTGAAGGGTGTGATAGTTATTTTGACGTTTTGGTGGGGGTTCTAACAAATGCTGTAATAAGAGAATATTCTGATCCAAGGATAAGCAGCTTTTGGGTGGTCATGATTTACTTAAGGACAGTTGCTGTGTTGATGCTGTATCATGAGAGAGTTGGGCAAACAAATAACAGCTTGCGAAATAAAATTTTTCTTGGTTTGAAGGCTAGAAATGGAGTTCTTAGGTGAAATTTGGCACGGTGAGGTTTTCTAGGGATTCGATAGGGTCAAATGTGTCTGAAGAGGTCTACTTCTAGGGGATTTTATGAGATCATGATTCTTGAACAATGAGAATGGCTAAAAAAGAATCTTGCTTCAATCAAAAGGTAAATGGTGGAGCATTGAGATGAAATTTGATAGGCTAGGGTTTTAGGGTACTTAAAGTCTCTAGGGGGTGTCAGATTAGTGGTGCGAGGTGTTTAAAAGAGGATTTTCAAGTTATAGAGGGACAAATATCTACTTTTTGGGTAGTACTTGTTGGTAGCAGATCTAAAGTCATGAGAATCTATATCTATATATTAAAAGGGAAAGTGTCCAACTGCATTTTCATGAGTTGTGGTTGTTTTAAGGAGGCAATTTGCTGCATTTCTCTTTCTCTTTGAGTTTTTTAGTTTGGGCAATTTTTCTAAATTATCTTTATGGTTTAGCTAATTGATTAAGTGTGTACTAAATGTTTGAAAATTAATTAACACTACCCTTTTTTTGTTTCTGACAATTGATTAATGCTTCTTTTACCATTAACACGAACAGAAGACAAAAAAGATTATTTTGCCCTTTATTCTTCATCAAAATTTCAAAATAAAACAACTTAAACATGCAACAAGAATCCATACTGCACTTTGATGGAGCCCAATCAAAACTAAAATTACAAAATAATATACTGAAAGACCGGAGAGCAAAAAGGGAGGTCTGAGAACAGAGGTTGAGAGAGATCGGAGAGCAGAGGTTGAGAGAGAGACAGAGGCAGAGGGGGAGGTCTAAGATGAAGGCTTGAAAGCATGACTTTTGATGATGCTCCAGGAGAGGACGATTGAAGTGGGTGACCGTGAGAAGGTACGTTTGTTAGCTGTAACCTTAGGAGCTCGTGTAAAACACCCCACAGCAGGGAGGTTACAAAGCGTCAGCCACTTTCTTTCGCGCGGAACACCCCACAGCATGGTAACTCTGTAACTCGTTGAGTTCGTGTGGAACACCCCCAAGCAACGAATGAGCGCTGGCCGCGTGTGAACAGATAGGCTCTGTAACCTCTGTGTCTGTCTCGGTCTCGGTTTGGTCCTCTGTCAATTCGTCGATCTACTTATTGTGCCGGTAGTTTCCAAGAAATAGCAGTCTGTTTTGATCGATTTTTATTGCGATGCGGATCTATTGTTGTAGACTGTTTAGGAAGGTTTAGCAGATAATTTTGGCTTTGGATGGTGATAAGAATGGATAGTTTCCGTACGTTTTGGTTCTTTCTTTCTTTCCTCTCTCCTCCTTCCTTCTGTATTTGCCGCTCATGGGAAGATGGGTAGGAAATTTTGAAGGAGGTCCCAACTCCCAATTCATGAACAAGCAGCCATGGAAGTATAATCTATTAGATCTTGTGTTGCACTTTCTGGAGCTTCTGCTTTGAAAGGTGCAACCGAATTCACCATCTTTGGCCTTGAAACAGAAGGTAACAAGCGGCACTTTTCCACAGCAGCAATTCCATCTGTGCCGTTGGTGAAAAAGAAGCAACAGAATCTTATACTTCATTTGAAGCAGTGACTGAGCCAGAGGTGGAGGGGGGAGGGGGAGGGGGAGGTCTTAGAAGAGAGAGAGTGGTGGGGGTTTAGGGTACCAGAGTAATCTTGGGTTTAAAAAAAAATTATATAAGTCACGTAGGGTCACATGTGCATAGATTATAAAGAAAGAGTTGATCATTTGCTAGAAACAATAAGGATAGTGCTAATCAATTTTCAAACAATAAGGATACAATTAGTCAATTAGCTAGACATAATAATAATTTAAGAAATTTTACCCTTCTAAATTTTTATAAAAATATAAAATTATTATAACTAAAATCAATCCACTAGCCGTATAAGTACCATTATCGAGTAGCAACGTTTTGCTCTCGATGCCTAGCTCTCTTTTCCAATGTTAATGCATTCAATTATCTTAACATTTTGAGATGTATTTAAAGAGATGGAGCCACAAGTATTGTTGGGTGTGAAAAAAAATCCCATCTTCTGGCAATGTCTATAAGACTATAAACCTTGAGTTGTTTCCTGTTTGAGAAAAAAATCCCATCTTCGACCCAAAATCAAAATCGATTTGGTCATTGGTTCAACCATTCAGTTTGAATAGATCAACTTATGACATTTTAAAAAAGTAAAAAAAAAAATAAAAATTTGACCTAAAAACCATTGATTGGTTCAAATAAATTAATATAATTTGATCGCTTGGCTCAACAGGTTGCTTATCAAGGATTTTTGAAAAAATAGTAAACGATACAGGTATCTTAATTGGTCTCCAATCCAAACGGTCCAACCGTCCAATTCAACAATATTTGAAAACTTTGATATGCTTAATTCAGAAATTAACTCTCATGGAGATTATATTGTGCTTTTTAGTTCAGTTTACCAGTTTGGCATTTCGACCAATTTATATTTCGGCGTATATTTGGGTAAAGTTAGTTCTGGTCTTCACAAAAAGTATAAGAACAACCTAAATCATTTAAAACATGCCAGAAATAGAGCAAAACCGATCTCGACTCCTGGACTTCTTGACGGTGTTTTATCCTAATTCAAATGGTTATGGGAGCCATTATATGCCATTCGGTAGTGGTTTAATTTAATTTGGACCTATTTGGTAATTAACATCAAATAATATTAGTTGTTAATAATAATAATAATAACAACAACATATGGTTAGATACAAAATTGAATTAAAATATTTAATTAATGTAAACAATAAAATAGGTTATTACTTAATTAATTTAAAACTTAGGAAAATTAAAAGTATAATTAAGTATTAAAATAGTTAACATTTCATCTATAACTTAAGCAAATTAAAATTATGATTAAGTATTATAAAATAATACTAAAATTAAATACTAATATATGATCAATTAAATGCTAAGATTTTAGTAATTCAAATTAGTTATTATTGATTGAAAATCCATTTAAATACCATTTATAATAATTACATTCAGTTTAATTTTAAAGTAAAAAAGCATATAAAATTAATCATAGATAAATAAGTCACCTAAAAATAATGTTTGGATTGAATAGAAGTATAGAACTAGCTCTACCCAAATAAAAAATGTCATAAGACTCATGCTTCAATTTAGTTTAATAAAATCCGTACATTGCACGGGTCCGGATGATAGATCTATTTTGCAATCACTTTTATGTTTACCCTGGCATGCAGAAATTTGTAGAAAAAAGAAAGCTTAAGAAACCAAACGAAAACAAAAAAAAAAACGTATAAGGAAGATTGATGACGATGACGACGCCCTCCGCGAGGATCGAACTCGCGATCTTTCGCTTACGAAGCGAACGCACTACCACTATGCTACGGAAGCACCACATTAAATGATATTAAAATATTAATTATTGTGACAGAGAAACACAAACAAGTGTCACATGCGAGTAGGGGACATTCGGACTAACCACGAGAGATCTTTGTCGTTTTTTCCCTACATCAGATCCGACGGTCAAGTGCTCGGGTGCATAAATGCAATCTCGTAGACCTTTTTATATATATATAAATACAAATGGCTACACCTTACAACCTACCCACTGCATCTGCAACCAAAATGGAAATGGTATCACCATCACCAAACTCAGACCTAAATCTGTTCCGCTACTCTCTGCTCACACTCTACCTCATCACTCCTCCCACCTTCATATCTCTCCGATTCCTCCAAGCCCCATATGGCAAGCACCACCGTGCTGGGTGGGGCCCCACTTTATCCCCGCCGTTGGCCTGGTTCCTGATGGAGAGTCCCACCGTCTGGTTCAGTCTCCTCGTCTTCTCCCTCGGCCGAAATCGTTCCAACCCCAGAGCCCTAGCCCTGCTCTCCGTCTTCCTCTTTCACTACATCCACCGCACGTGCATCTACCCGCTTCGCCTCCTCAAAACTCCCAGCCGGAAAGCCGGGACCGTTGCTATCGGTTTTCCCATCTCCATCGCGCTGATGGCCTTCGCATTCAACGTCCTCAACTCCTACTTGCAGATGAGATGGGTATCGCATTACGCGGATTACGAGCACGAGAGCGGTTGGTGGTTTTGGGGGCGGTTTTCGGTGGGGCTGGCAGTATTCTTGAGCGGTATGGCGGTGAACGTGCGGTCAGATTCGGCGTTGATGGCGTTGAAGAGGGAGGGCGGAGGGTATAAGATACCGAGGGGAGGATGGTTTGAGGTGGTGAGTTGTCCCAATTACATGGGGGAGGTGGTGGAATGGGTGGGATGGACGGTGATGACGTGGGCCTGGGCTGGGCTTGGGTTTTTCTTGTACACTTACGCCAACTTGGTGCCTAGGGCACGGGCAAACCATAATTGGTACTTGGATAAGTTTGGGGAGGATTATCCCAGGTTTAGAAAAGCTGTTATACCTTTCCTGTATTGAAAAATATTTTAATAAAATTTTATGAAAAATAAGTGGTGTTTTGTTTTCTTGGAGGAATGCAACTTTGAATGCCCCGCCGAATATACGTGACGTGATGACGAATTGACGATGAGACCCATCTAATATTTTTTTAAAGGGATAATTTATTTATTTATATATACCTGACCTGAGATTTGAGGAAATTAATTATATAATGTAATTTCAACTTTCAAAATCCATTAATATTATTATATCTGTTTTGTTTACTTTTCACATGTTAATCGAAATGGGAATGGCCATTTCTCCTCTGCAATGAAATCTCAATTCAGTTATTTCAAACCATTCCAGCTCCAAATCCAAAAAAAAAAAAAAAAAAGTAAAAAGACAAAAATGCCATTATCTGTTCATTAAATCGCCCGAAATCAAATCGAATCCAACTGAATACTCGACACAGGACGAAATCAATTACAAATTGAAATCTTGAATTAAAGAAATAGGTTCAGAACCCATACTGCTACGATTATGTGTTTCGGGACATCCTTTTATTTCATTGAACCGGTATGAGTATGTGTTGCGGGACAAAGATCGCTTATTCCATTCCCTTAGAATTCCATTCTATTTCTTACTCAAGTACATCGAGTTTCTGATTTTTACTCAAAGAGTAGAACTGGTCACTGCTTCTGATCACCAACCACAGAGTAAGAGAAAAGGGAATTGGAATCCCATTCCAATCAACCAAACGACTTGATTATGGGCCCTTTCGATTCCAGGTGCCTATTTTGAAGAACCAAAAGGACCCTTAGTTGTTACTTTTAGATCTAATTTGGTAGAGTATATCATTCTTTTTTTTTTTTTTTTTTTGAAGAAGAAGAGTAATATCATTCTAACCGACATCATCTAAGATTAATTAATTAATTATTAATTAGTGACTGAGAAATCTTAATAGTGTGGTGTGCTTTTTATGACTTTTCAGAATAAATAAAAAAGATAAACTGAAATGGCAATCTATCCCACCCTATTGAGGCTCTACCGACTCCGGATGGGCAGGAGATTTGAGCTCCGCTCTGCCCCACCCCGCCCTAGTTGGGGCAGTTTTTTTTTTTGACTATTTTGATCAGCCGCCGAGATTTGATTTGGTCCTCACTCTCGTGACGTTAGAAATTCGCAAGTTTAGGAATATTCTGATCAGAACTGGGACGCGTACTAAAATACTGGTTGTAAACATTTTAATTACATGGGATTTTTCGGTCTTCCTCCCATTTTCGATTCTCCCCTGCCAAGCCCTAACCTAGAAGCTTCCATCGGCAAGATGTCCGTGAACCTGAAACCCACCGGCGGACAACATCAAGGGCTACAACTTTGTTTGCCGTTAGATAGCGCATATTGTCTCTGCCATCGTCGTCTCCGTCAACTACTATCTCTCGCCGGAACATCGGTACCCGGCACTATACGACAACGGATTCAAAACTCTGGTGTCCCTTGACACAAGAAATTGTGAGGAGTTTCCAGTTAATGCCGATATCACTTCTTTATACTATTATTTTTTTGTTGTTTGTAAATGCTTTTGAAGCTGGCGGTACCTGAACCCCTTTTTCTCTGAAACGAACAACCACATCCCCAAATCGTTGGTACCTTGATAGAAGGCAATCTATCAAAGTTCCAAAAGGAGAACAATTAACTCTCTATGGTTTGTTTCACCAAATCAAGATGGGCATTTTTTTGCAAGTTCTAAACTTTGTAAGCAGCTATAAATTTAAGAGTAAAAAAATCGAAATTTTATTTTTTTTTACTTGCAATAAATTTGTATCACAAAGTAATAGAGCTTGGTTTGAGGTGGTGCTGAAGTTCTTCCTTGAACTCCTCAAGGTTAGCAGATCAACATGTTATTTATTTATTTTTTATTTTTTTATTCTAAGGTTAAGGTAAAATGTTATATTAGTTTCATAAAAAACCTGTATAGGCATAACTCATGTACGGTGAACAACCATGCATTGAGAATACAAAAATCATTTTATAAAAATCATTTTGGAATTTTTACAATGAGATGAACTCAAATAGCATTCAATATTGGAATTCTAGTAAGAGAATTGCTTTTACAATTTCATTTTTGTTGTCCAAATTCCAGGTTTTCAGCTCTCAAAGCAGTGCAGTAAGTCTCATAGAACTGCATTAAATGGACAAGGAATTCAATTCTTCTGCATTAGACAAAGGGCACCAGATTGAGCAACAGAGAACTGGATCCAGTTCTGTTTTTTGGGGTTTTGATAGGTTGCCTTCGACCAGGGTAGCATTGACTTGGGGATGCGGATGTTTGTTTCGGAGAGGAAGGAGTTTAGGGGTAACGCCGACTTCAGAAGTATTAAAAAGCAAAAAAAAAAGTTTGCAGGGAAGGAGGAGAAGAAGAAAAAGAAATCCTCAGAAGAAGATTGGAAGAAGAATAGAAAGAAGACAAGCATGCTTATTGCCGGTTGATTTCTTGCCGTCGGTGGATTCTCCGTTCACGGACGTCGGTTGTGCAGTGAAATCGCCAATGGATTGCTTTTTGTGTTAGGACTCTGAGGAGAAAATGGGAGGAGTAAGAATGAATTCTCACATCCCAATCCTAAATAATTCAAAAGAATCAATGATTTTAAATTTCTCGTCTTTTTCTATCCGGTTCAACCAGATTCATTTAACTAATGTTCAAACGCCCATTAACGTTAGCTTGATTTTGCCCAGACAACGTGGTCGTCTCTCATTGGAGGGTGCATTCGTCCAGTGCACCTGTGGGTGCACAGAACGCAGACTCTTCGAAATGGCCAGTTTCAGTTACAAATCTGACCCATTGACATACCTAGGGGGGTTTGAATGGTTAGATTTGGAGTGAAATATCAAATACCTCAAGGATGAACTCTCAACTACTTGCGTGCATAGTGCATACCACATGGGACTCAATCAGAGGAGACTAGATCTCTTACCCACAATAACCTCACTACAGTCGAGAACATCTCCTGTATTTGCATGTTACCATTACTCATGGGCAGATTTTCCAATGTACAGCTATAGTGTCATATGGATAGGATTCTTGCAGGCAGGAGATTTGAATTGCAACTGAAGATCCAATCCTTGCTCCTTGGTTCAAAATGCTAGCTCTCGTATTGATTACTCTCTGCAGTTTAAATCTACACCATTTTGCCTGCTTTGGTCAATTGCTTGGGCGATAAAATACAGTTTCTTAAACCATACTTGTATGAGGTAGGGTAGTCCTCCCGTCAGTTCTGGATGAAATGGAAAATTGATTGACCTACCAGATTATTAGGATTTCTGGTCATTGAACCAGTTGATCTTTAACTGAAGGGTGTATATACTGATTATTAAACCATAGTCTCCATTTGGATAAGCTTTTGTTTCTGAGCCTTGGGTTGTGGGAGAAAAACAAGGGCCAGAAAGTATTTTTGAACTTTGGTAAGAATCGCTTTTAAAAACATAACCGAGTAAAGCCAAAATACTTATGAGCCCTAAAGCACAAAGCATAAAATTGGAGCTTATTCTGAAGCTTATCCAAACACAACTCTAGTTATTGAACCTAGAAAAACAAAGAGCCAGGAAGAAGCAATTTCTACAACACATTGTACAATGAAATATTATCATGTAATGGAGAATAGCATATCTAAATCCATTCGATCTGTTTCAATAACATAATAGGATCTTATCCACAAAAAAAGGGTAAATAAATAGAATTGCAATGTACAACTTGTTGGTAATTTGTAATTACTAAAAAGAGGAAAGCAAACGGAAAAATCCTCTCTGTTGAGGTTTTTAACAAATATCGAAACCTCCACTCAGTTTTTTCCCAACACTTGAACACCCCATATTGAATGATTCTGCTGTTAACTTTAACAGAATAGGGGAAATATCAAGAATGTCCTTACAGGGTAGGAATGGCAACCGGGTGGGGTGGGGCCAGGTTTTGCCTGTCCCATACCCGACCCCAAATTCAAATTCCCTGCCCCAAACCCCGACGGGGCTAAAAATCCTAACCCCAATCCCGTCCCCGTGGGAAACGGGGATCCCCAACTTTGCCCCACCCCACC